TTTCAATATCTATCTATTTATATATATATATATGTATATATTTATCAGGGGACCCGTCCAACAACATGGCCTTCAGAGTTAAGGAAGCCCCTGCGGCTTCGCCGCCCAACGGCCTTTGTCTGGTTGCATCTCTTGCTCACAACAAAAGCTCACGTTCCTCAGGGACCTGATCGACTTGAGAAGCAAAAGGACTCAAACATGACACCAAAAGGACCATTGGGAACAGGACAGGGAGGGACCAACGTTGGCCAGCTTGAATGTAAGTGGCCTGCCTTGACGAAAAATTGACCGTTGGGAAGCCGAAAGGTCAACAGGTACTTTGAAGGCGACCCTTGGCCTGGGTTGGGTCCCTGTTGGATTTAGACCATCCGGAAGAGGGTCCTCTCCCCAGTTCAGGACCACCAATCAGTTTATCATAGTTGCCTGCAGTTGTTTGTTGGGTGGATATGAATTTCATGTCGGGTCCGCCCAAGCCACTATCGGATACAGTATATGGCTCGAAACCACTTTCTGCGCATGTCCGCGCATAGTAAGTATACTATATGCTCACACATATATTTACTTGAGTAGACATACACATGCCTTCACAGGGCCGATCCTATTTTAAACCTGAAAAAATCCCACTGAGGCCCAGCAAGAACTTGCGCAACCCTTGTTGGACCCCCTCATCGAGGGTTCGGGAAACCAAAACGGAGACCTCAAGCCCACTTTTGCCAGCTTGGGCCCAAACCCCCCCCCTCCTTTTTTGGCACGAACACAACCCCCAGCACACAGCCCCCCCCCCCCCCGCCCATTCGGGGGGGGCTTGTCCCATGGTCATGTCTTCACCGCCGAGCGCCCCCCAAAATCTGTGGGTCCAAAAGCCCGTCGGGCCTGAAGTCCTCGAAGCTCAGCACCTCACGGCGCTTGCCGGGCCGAAACCAGCCGCAACAAGGCCAGGGTCCGTGAGGAAAGCCGAGGACTAGGGCAAACCTAGGCAAACGCTGCAAACATAAGGTCTTTGGCTGCTTGCCCATCACAAGACTACGTGAGCTTTTCGCATCCTCCAATTCTTTGGCCCCTTGCCTTGTAGAAAAATCGGGGGCAAAGGCAAAAAGGGTTTGTTGATGCAGTTTCAAGCTGTTTGGCCCCATAGCTGCAGAAACTGGAAACTGGGGGAAAAGGCGCAGGGTCGGCAACACCTGGGGTTGACAAGTGTCTCATACCTGCGAATTACGATTTGAGGGGATCAAGCTTGCTTTTTGTAAGAAGGTTTTCACAAACGGACCGCCCTAGTCCAAGTCATTCTGTTTAACAAGTCAGTTCAAGGGCACTACACGCATCATTGTCCCACCAGCAGGAATCGGTTTCGTAGAACCTGCTGAGGGTCCAAGAGTCTTCCATTTCCGGCCGTGAAACCCGGGAAGTCAACAGTGCGGCCTACTGGGTAGGATCGAAATCTGGTGAAGTTTGGCCCATGCTACTGGGGATACATCTTAAGCTTATTTGCAGAGAACACTGTGATAACTACTGCCTCCCTCCTCAGGCATGCTAGAAGGAAACAAGCCACAGATTGATTGGTGATACGGCATGGGCCCAGCAAGCAATAAAATTGTGTGTACCTGATGTCAAAATACGCCAATGGAGGATCATGCCCCCCACCCGAAAGTGAAAAATGGAGGGGGGAGAATGCCATGGGCTGAACCCACTGAGCAAGTGGGTCAACCATTATGCGTATGTCAAAGTTGGTCAGTAATCTAGGCGCATTGTAGATACAGTAGTCAATTTCCCAGCCTGAAAACAGAAAACCCAAGAGTACGCCTTCGTCATGGGTAAGGTTACAACCCGTCCTGTGTTGCGAAATCCAAAACTGGCCTGGCCAAAACTCCGTGAATGCCTTACAGGTTTCCCTTGATTGTGTCCGCCTGGTTGTCGAAACGGTTAAGGACTCTGAATAATATATGTATACATATACATATTTATATATATATATACATATGTATATATACATATATATGATGTCGCATCGCATTCTTTGCTGGCCGGTGGTATGTTCAGAGCTTTGCGAGTAGCCGGTCGATCCTTCAGAACGACAAGGCTTCCGAGCACAAGAACTTCAAAGGCATGCATGCCCTCCCGCGGCGGGTGGGCGGGTGACTTGAGCAACATTTGTTGCGGCCATCCATCTTCTATTCTGTATCAATCAGGTTCCAAGAACTGGCATGATGTCGCATCGCATTCTTTGCTGGCCAGTGGTATGTTCAGAGCTTTGCGAGTAGCCGGTCGATCCTTCAGAACGACAAGGCTTCCGAGCACAAGAACTTCAAAGGCATGCATGCCCTCCCAAACCTTGCTGCTTACTTCCCATAGCTGAAAAGTTAACCTGGCTAGGAGAGCCGCTTTTGAAAATTGTGTGCACGGGTTCGGATCTCAAAGTCCAAAAACGCGCGGGCCAGAGTATGACAAAATAAGTGTGGATAGATCTGCGCAGCCTTGGCTTTCCAAATGTTTTGCGGGCCAAGCCCGCACAAGATGTCATGGCGACATCCTGTCCTTCTGCAGAGGCCACGCTTCGGCCCAGTACACCTGTATGACTGGAAGCATTCAAGCGATAAGTGCACCGAAAGCAGAGTGGTTGGTTTCTTCCACGGGGTTCCAAACATGCACATTGCAAACTCCTGTTTGTAAACCTGCTTGCGTCTCTGAAGCTGAAGAACTGCAGGACAAAGCCAAAGTCGTGACATGGCAGGGTTTTCCATAGAAAAGGGAACCCAAAGCAATAAAGCCAGCTGCAGGATGTGAACGGAAAACCGCATAAATAAATTGGCCTCCTGGACCTGCCGAAGATCCCTCCCATGCAAGTGTGGAAGGCCCATGGCGCTTGCATCAATCCGCAAAGGCAGTGGGCCAGGAGGAGAGTCTCTTGCGCGCGAAAAGGTGGTGCTTGGTGTCCCAAGGTGGCCCCCCCGAATATGCCCGGAACGAAGCCACCCAGCAATCAACACACGGTTATTAGTATTGCGCAAGTCATACTTCTCCCCCAAGGTCAAATCCCAAAGGAGTACTGGCCACTGGTTGTCCCGAGCAACTGCTCTGCCAAGCCGCGCACTGCCAGAGAAAATTTCAAGAAAAACGCTGGGCTTCAAGGCAAACGGCACGCTCACTTCTAATGCACCCTCTGCCACGTGCTGACCAGGTTTGCTGCAGCGTCTATGGCTAGCATCTTGAACTTCTTGAGGCAGAGCGCCGAACACTTGCGTCAGTCTGGCGCCCTTTTGGTAGCGACGGACGGAGGATTGGCTCTGCCATCGCCCCCGATGTTGAATTGCTTGCAAATCTCTGAGTTTGCCCACATGATCGTGCGACGCCCCTCCGTGCCTGAACCGGTACGGGTGGATGCGATTGACGGCCTGCAGGTTCAAGCTCTCTTGCGCTGTCTCCAAAAACTCCAGCAGTTCTGCAGTGGTGTGGGTCAAGATAACATGCCTTTTCGCAATCTTCCGGTTTTCGCAAAACCTCGCAATTGCTTCGCCAAAGCCGTGGTGGTATGCCAAATCTAGCTGGAGAGATTCGTCGAACTCTTGCGTCTTGGACGGGACCCCCAGCTCTTCTGGATGCAAAACCACTGTCCACTGCTTGTAGCCCCCCTGTCCGCGAGGAACAGGGGGAATGACATCGCCACGGCGAAGTCGCAAAGCTTCGCTTGGCCGGAGGTACAGCATAAACATCAGGCCCATGTGCAACGCAAAGCCCATGAGGTTTTGTCTGACTGCGTGTGTGATCAGGAGGCAGCACACTTCCCACGGGATGGGCAAACGACTCTTCTGCGGCGCCAGTTTTCGCCAGCCTTTTAGGGACTGCTTCACATGTGGAAGGTTTTGCATGGCTGGCGACTTCAACTGATTGTTGAAAAACACCACGGCTGCAATGAGGTATTGCCCGGCACTGATGTCTTCCCCGTTGTGGTAGAGTCTGTCCAACTCTCGACTGAGGATCTCGTCGACCTTGCTCACTGACTTCAGCTTGCCATTGCTGCTGACCAACTTCTGCTTCACCGAGTTCCAACAGCGCGTGTAGTGAGAGAGGCACTGCTTCGACACGGATGCCAGTTGCAGCGAAGTTTTTCCGCTCACAGGATCGCCCTTGACTTTGCTGCGACTCTGCGCCCTCTGACGCTTCTTGGCAGAGCGACTGGTTGCAGTGTTCGCCAGCGTCATCTCCGTCTGCTGCGCCTGCAAGATGTTCTCGCGGAAAATCACCATGGCCGAGAAACTGCTTAGGCTTGCTGGGCATCCAAATTCCCCTTGAAGGATTATCAGCAGGGTTCCATTCGCTTGGTATCCACCGAATGCTGAAAAAGCTTCCGGAACACAGCGTTAGAGCTCCAATTTGGCTGCAAACCTTCCGCAAATGAAACCGTGACGCCCTCCCCCTTGAGATGGCACAAGCAGCAGTGAGACTGTCTGATAAGATCAGGTGTCGACGACCAAAGTTGTCCCTGGATCTGAGGATATGCTTGACGGCAAATAGGACTGATCTCGCTTCGTAAACTGGTAAAGATGCTCTTCTTTTCCAGGAAAACAGTCGACCACTCCCTATCAACTGCCGAAAAAGGAACATTCACAAAGGTCTGGGGCGCGCATTCCTTGTTGGGGCCAAAGTCATCCTCATAGATCGTCAATTGATCACCAACTGTGCCTTCCGGAAACTGGTTCTGGAGAACTTTCTGCCTTGGAAAAGCGCCATTCGGGTCTTTGAAGCGCCACCTTTCATTGTATTGCCCCAGAGCCCTAACAAACTCGACCGGCATGGTGGATATGGTTGCACCCAGCCCGTGCTCTGAAGCGTCGACTGCGTGCACCCGTTCCGACCATGTCGCGCAAAGATCCCTGCAAATAAGGGGGATAATGCCATCGAAGTTTGCCAGCTCCTGTTGAACAGATTTCCAAAGCTTGACCTCTTCTCGAACACGTTGATGTCTTTGAATAAAAGCATACACACTTCCAAAAACAGAGAAGCACTCACGTCGGCCCAAACAGAGAAAGCTGCAGTGCCCCACGAGCTTTTCCATCACGGAACCAGTGCAGCGGCCACGCGCCACAACCTGCCAGGGCAAGCCTGACCTTCCAGGCTCTGGACCGACTGGGCTGAAACAAGGCATCGCTGGTCAGCTCCCATCCCAAGACCTTGCCCCCTCTTTCGCACTCCTCATCATGCACCTGAAGGCCGGCTGCCTTTAGCTGATCGGTGGCCCGGCGATACGCAGCCTCCACTGCCGCCTGCTGACTGCCGACGACAATCAAGTTATCGACATATTGCGTGTGGCAGCATTGAGTGTCAGGAGGGGGTTGGCGGTCTCGGATCCGAGAATTCTTGGTCAGCCCAGCTTTTTCTGCAAGTGATTCGTGGATGCTTTGACGCAAGTGAAGGGCCCAGGTCCAGCCCATGGCAACAACCGCAAGTCTGGGTGTTATTCGCTGGTTCGCCTTCAGCTTCTGGCCATTCAAGAACTTCATCCCCACGTCGCCAGCTCGCACCGGAGTTAAAGCGAAATAGTCCCGAAGCTCCCCTGGCATGGACAGATGGTAAAAAGCGTCTTTCAGATCTGCTTGCGCCAAGGTGACGCAGTCGCCTCGCTGGAACTCAAGTGCCCCAAGCCCCTCGCCCGTTGTGAGCGATGTGTGATCAGGTTCTGCAAAATGGCAGTTGGACCTTCGAGCATCAACAATCAGCCGCAACTTCCCGGATTTCTTGGTCACGCAGAAAAAAGCTATTCGCTCCTTTCCAGGCGCTGTGCTGTAGTCAATCAAATGCGAGTCATGCAACTTGCGGAGGAACTGATGATACACACGGCCTTGCCGAAGAAGGGGGTCCGAAAAAGGTGCTCTAACACCACACGCCTCCAACTTAATTCTTGCTTTCTCCGGTGGCAAAAGCTGTTGCGTAACGAAATCGTTCACCTGAGTCTGACCGTTGCTACCCCACAATGAAGCCAGGTCCACGGGAACCCAGCCTGCCTCCGGCATGGAGATAGCGTCGATGCGGAACGGGGCCAATGCACCTATGGGCTGGGCTTCACCATAGCCATTGGCCGCCCGGAGCATCCGAAGAGCCCCTGGGCCAGCCAAGTCAACGGGCGGTTTGCCCATGGCCTGAACCCTTTGCTGAATGAGTTCTAAACTGTCAACCTGTGCAGCTGTCATGCCGAAATGTTCCTCGTCAAGAGAAATGAGTGGCTTGTAGCTACCATGGCATCCATACATTGAATTCAAGGCATCGATTGTTTTGTTCACCTCGTCCTCTTGGTGGTGGGCAACCAGCAGTCTACGTTTCACCTTTCTGGAAACATGGCCATTCACATGCACTGATTGCTGCGCGTGAGGAAGAGGAAACAGATCACGGACCTTTCGTGCCTTTCCATGCAGCGGGGGCTCATGGTCCAGGACAGGCCTTGCCCCCAAAGAGCCATCCCAGCCCCTTTCAGGGGGCGTCTTCACCACCCTTCTTCTTTGGCCCGCTCTTGCGCGCCAACTCACGCTCCTCCCTGGCTTTGCGCAAGTTTTTGGCCAGGTTGGCATCTCGCTCGACTTCACCTTTGACAAAGTCCAGGAGATCAGGACACACCATGAGCGTGGAGGCTTGCCGCGTGACCCCCCCGAACGTTTGCTGTTCCTCCAGCGACAGGCGGCCTCCAACGGCCTTCGCCTCCAGCTCGCGGGCGCGTTCTGCGTACGAGTATTCGATTGTCTGCAGCCTGCGGAAGATGACCTCGAGGCACAAGTTGTTGAACCCGTCCAGCTGGTCAACCTGCAGAGCATGCTTTGCAATCATACTTAGCTGATAGTGCTCCTGGATGCCCCAAGAAGAAGCCTCGACTTTGCACAAGGCTCTGAAGCGCTCATGATGCCCTTCGAAACCTAGGGCTTCGACCGCCAGATATGAAATGCACCATCTGCTGGTGCGTGGCCCGGTCAGGTTCCACTGTGTTGAAACCTCAGCAAACTTTGCTGCCGCATCTTTGAGAGAACACTCTGGCCTTCCCAAAGTGTCAAACTCGTGGCCTACAATTCTGTGGTCGTTGTCTGCAGCCTTCTGCAAAAACTTCTTCTGATGTCCACCGTCGATGCACTGAACAAAGACCGACGCACCATCTGCAAGCACGTGGACTGCCTTGGCCCCATCTGTTGGAGCTGCTGCTACCCCGTGCACCACGTCGCCAAACCTGAGGTCGCCCACCTTCTCGGCTGCAACCCAGTACAGTGTTCCAGCATGGAGAGTCGCCGGCGCCCCGGCAGCTGCTGGCACAGCCCCAACGGCGGGCGCAGCTCCAGCAGCAGCAGGCACAGCCCTATCCACCAATCCTCGAGCAGCTCGCTCCATCGCCAGAACCCTTTGGGCCTCAACACGAAGTGCGGCCACCTCTGCTGCTGTAAAAGCAGGAAGTGGGTACACCTGAGCAGGGAGAATGCCGCCAGGCAAGGCGTGTGGTGAAGGCTTGACTCGGATGCCCCTCAGGTCATCGTTCAGCAAACTCAATTCCTCATAGTGCACATCAAAATCTGGGGTGGCCACTACGTAGTCTTCATTCACAATGTGGGCTAAAACCATTCTCTCATGCCACAGTTCAGGGCCAGGAACATCGTATTGAAGGAGGATGGTCTTATTGGCCAAGGCCATGTCGCCAGCGACGAGATCTCACCTCAGCCAGTTGAAGATGGGCCAACTGACGCTTCTCTTCCAGGCCAGTCGGTGTTGAATCCTCTGACACCAGCCCGGAAGGCGCAGCCACGGCTTTGTGACCTCTGCACCACCAGAGCAAGGCCAGAATGAACCAACCACTGATGGAAAACAATGTCAACCCAATGCTCACTGACAATTGGAGCTGGGGCTGCCAGGAAACCTGTGAGCAATCCAATTTGCAGTGATCACGGCACTTCTGACTTGTCAGCTCGGCAGCCTCAAAGGCAATATGCTCAAGGTCACCTTTGGATTTCCACCACCAGTGAACAAACGCCCCCAAAGCCGTGCACAAAAAGTGGGCAACCCCTCCACCAAGTGGTTGGCCACCCATGGGAAGTCTGGAGGCGCCCCACCTTCTGACTTGAGCAGCATTTGTTGCGGCCATCCATCTTCTATTCTGTATCAATCAGGTTCCAAGAACTGGCATATATATATATATATATATATATATATGTTAACATCATGCTTATCGGAGCATCAGGTCCAAGTCTTGTGACTGCGACACATTTCGAGTCGATGAAACATACAGATTCTATCGACTCAAGCAGCCTAGCCAAGCCGGTACTCCCTCCGTAGTACTCTACTTAGCCCATTCGTTCTCAGATATTTTTCGGAACGTGGCCAAACACTGGGCATCTGGGCTGTTTTTTTTGAACGAACAAACACTGAAAAGACTAGAGGATCAACCTGTCGGACAACAAAACTTCATTCCCTTTCTGAGCGCTGTGCATCTGCCATGTGCGGAAGCACTTGCGTCAGCCTGATGTCGGAAAAAGCGCTGCAATAATCTTGGACAACCACAGCTGAAAAGACAAAAAATCAACGCCTCTGCACCAAGATGTTTGCTATGAAGCACCAAGCTGAATGACGGAATCTCTCTAGAGCTTCATCGGTTCAACCGCTCGTTTTGCGAAGCACTGTGACACTGCAAACCAATTGATGCATGAAAGTCGAGAGACCTGAGGCCAACCCCTGCGCCCCCGGTCCCAGGAAAGCTTCAGCAGGAATCTTCAGCAGCTACTGATCGAAGGGTAGAACCTTTCTGTGCTCCTGAAAAGCGGATCCCCTGTTCACTGGACCAAGAGCAGGTTGGGACTTGTTGCGGCCATCAACCATCAAAAGGGTTGCAACAAAAAGCGACCAGTCGGGCCGCAACCCCTCCCCCCGCCCAGAAATCCCAACCCGGCCAACTGGCAGCGATGGGCGGCGAGTAAGCCAAAAGGTAGAAACAATTTCGAACACTTGCTCGGTCCATGCGTAGTGGGGAACGAACCATAAAGGGATAATCGTATCACTGAAATGGGCACAAAGGCAAACAAGGGGCGCCTCTGAACTGGGAAGGATGAATATGAAAGAATCAAATCAGGGAGACATTATGATCATGTGCTTGCTTCCGGCCGCTGGTTTGATGGGCAATGTCAGGCTTGGACAAAACCCGTTGTGGTAATGCAGCAATAATTAGGATGTGCTTTGTTGCGAGGCGCATGTGATCGCTTCCCCAAAGTGTCAGTGTAGCTCAAAGTATATATATATATGTACAGTACATATAACTGGGACGATACAATGGTTCCTGGGTTACCCGCACTCCGCAGGAAACGAACTTGCATCCGGGGCCGAGCTCGCTTTACCCCTGCCTCCCGAGCTCGCAAGAAGCAGCGCAAAAAATGGAACAGGCGAGTGCAAGGTTCAATTGCCCAATGGCCGCGGGGGTGAACGGGAGCGCATTTGTTGGTTGATTAAACTAACACAATTCACCAACCTCCTTCTGAAGGATCTTCCTCACAAGCGACAATGAACATTCCTTGGTCAGGTCTTGAACATTCATCTCAGGCCGATACACAGCTTCCCCGCGCTCCGGGATGTCGTCAGCCACGCATTCTCGCCTCAAATACCCAAAGTGAAAGTGCCATGCAAAAGGCAAAGGTGTGCAACAAACCAGGTGCAGGAAATGCTGCAGGGAATTGGCTCAAACCCTTCTGTTTGTGGATGTCTTGCTCATTTCCCATATGATGTCTTGCAGCTGGAGGCTAGGAGGGTGGTTTATCCCAGTGTTCACAGGGTTTCGTCTATCCCAACTTGTGCCTGGCGTGGATTTTGGCCATGAGTGGAGAACAACTTGGGGGGCGTGGAGAGCCTATGAGCCTATGTTGCCCTCACCTGCTTAAAGAGGGGATTCATCACCTTGAACTCAGCAATCCACACCTACGCGGAGTGGTTCAGCCCACTTCTTTGGGGCTTGGCGCTGCAATACGTGCAGTTCTTTGGCAGCATGACTGCGACGCCCTCAATGCTCGGAAAACAAACGATTGGGGGTCGGAAAGTTGTCTGTCCACTGACTTGGCAACGCCTCTCAAAGGATGCTACTTCGGGAAAGATGGAGAAGGACACATGCATCGTCAGTCGGCACACTTGTCCAATGTAAGCGACATCGTTTTGGCTTCCGTGCTTCAGGGGGACGACAGGTTGAAGTCGTTTTACCAAAATTTGCAACCAAGGGTTAGGTATCGAGAGATCGATAGGTCTCCCTATACTTCCCTCGTAAACATCCACCGATACAAAACTCATGTGTAAGCTGCAGCCAAGACCACCAACCACATTGGAAACGTATTCCTCATATTTAAAAATACGCGACCGAAAGGTGATGTGTTCAAACATCACGCAAGTTGGGAGATATTTCAAGAACCCGAGAAAAATGCCGCGCTTCATGGCGTATTTCGCGGAAAGCGCGAGAACGAGCGGCGCCAAGTACAGCAGCAGGCCATCGTCTGCCAGGAGTTCGGCGGCCTGCAGCACGCCTTGGCCCGTCTTCAGCCCGGCCACCGCCACCTGAGCGGTAGAGAGGTTTGAACAAGGGTACCTTTTTCTTTTCTTTTTTTTCGGTAGTCTACTCAGGAATGTTATTGATAGTAACTATGAGCACGGGGATGTTCTCGGATTGTGGACACCTTTTGGCCTGGGGTGGTCTTTAAGGGTAGCCAAAAACAATTTTGGGTGACCTGTTGAGTGGCTTCTAACAAAGGGTTCCTTTCGGATGCTACACACATGTGTCCTCTGTTGCTTGGCCCTTTTTCTGAACCAGCGAAGTGCACAGGCCAAGTTTTCAAAAGCAAAGTAGTCCTGAAAGGGTTTCTGCACTTCCGTGTTTGGCGCAAAAGTATAATAATTCTCCGGCAACAAACAAGGGTTGTGCATAAAACGAGCCTTCACCATCGTGGGTCAGGAGATCACCAAGGGTTTTGGACATATGATCCAGCAGGAAACCGTCTGGAAGGGTCCTTCTCGGAAAATTCCCTGCCCATCGAGCCAGTAGGAAAACGGGATCCCCGTGGGTATAGAGGTACCTCCCTTAGCTTGCTCAGTTCCCCTGCGGGTTAACTAAGGGGATGATGAGTGACCTGCTTCTTTGGGGGGGCGGGGGGAATTGAATGACCCATCGACCGCCGTCGGTGAAACTTCGCCCCCTCTGGGACCCTGGCGAAAGCACCCTAAAGCGTTGCTCTTATTTTCGCCTCAAGGATCCTGCCTTTGAGTTCATGCAAGCACATGGTGCTTGACTCAACATGCAAAGTCTGCGAAGCTCAATCCACATCGTTTGGGTCATCATGGTTGCCCACGCGCTGCTGATCCAGAGCTTCTGTTAACAGAAAGCCGACATCCTGTCTCAGCATTATTCCGATCGACCACATGGTGCACAGAAAAGGCGCCATGGGTCGTGCTGCCCTGCAGAAGCAGAACACCGATGGAGGACAAATTGCCCTCTTTGGGCGGGTTCGAAGTCGGGCTTGGACGCAGGGCAAATGACTTGGTCGCGAGGGACGGCGAAAGCTGCAGCATACGGTTGCCCTTGCGACCGACTTGAAATTCTCCTCCCTTGCTCTCTCTCTCGCTCCTGCTCACAATGCTTGGCCGCTCGTAAGTGAGACTTTTGTTCGAAGCTCATGTTGGTTTCATTTGGTTTGCCCGTTTTGCTTGCGTCCACTGGCTGCCTCCTTCTGTTCCTCCGTTTCGTTCGTTGCCTCGGTGGGCTCTTCACGTGTTCTGTGATCATCTTGTAGGAATGCTGGGAGCGGCCCTCATCAAACATCCTCATCTAGGTTTCCCTTTACAACCCATGGTTGAAAGCAATGTTGAACCCTGCCCTGCGTGGAAATCAGGAACAGTTGAGTAAATGCAGATGGCACAACCTCCCCATGGCAATGGCATCAGCCTCTCTACTTGGACAAACACTTAATTACTCTGGCGTCCAAGGCTCATCCCGCTTCAAGGAAACTCGCTGTGTAAAATATGGGCGAACAAGGTATGTTTAAAACCACCAACGGAAATATGGGGATCCCTGTTCGTGTAAGCCAGACCCCAACCGTTCGCACGCGCGCTCCCGTCTCTTGCGGCCTTGGTGATGTTCTTCGCCCTCAGAACGTCTAAGAGCCGGTCATCGGGACCTCCAAGCACGGTGCGGGAAACCGAGGCGAAACATGCAGGGACCCTTCCTGATGCTTGAAAAAAATACCAGGACACCCCAGAAGTGTTGAGCAAAAACAAAGGGACACCCTGAAAGCTTGAGCAACCACACACACACACACTTATAAGAGAGCTTCATTGTCCTATTTGTTTCCACCAAAAAAATATTGTTCCTGTGAAAGGTGTGAAGCAAACTCCCTTGGAAGGGAGGTCCATGCATTCTCCACCAAAAAACGGGGTTTCCCGCTGAAGGTGCAAGCCACTGTCTCTCTCCTTTTTGTTTGGGGGGGGTGCCTCAAGGAATCCTAGCTTGAAGGGCTCGCACAAATTGGCGAAACCGCAAGACGTCGGCGAAATCGGGTATGCCCACCAGAGCCGGATAATCTGAGCGGAAACTAGCCCCTGCCATGTTTAACCAAACTGAGCAAGCACACTTATGTCTGAGGGCTTAGGAGCTTAAGCTGTATCTTTAGGTCACTTCGTGGGTGGGTTGGCCAACGCAAGTCCAACCTGGTTGTGGGCCACCAAAACCTTTCTTCCCAAAACTTCAGGGAAAAAACAAAAAACATCAAGTATCATCAAGTCCTGAAACTCACCGGGTGAGCCTGCCAATCCGCCTTGTTGATTCATCCGGGGTCCCTTCGTTTTCCCGCCAAGCCTGGCAGCAGTATTGGTCAAACCAATCATGGCCGGCCTCTCAAACTCAGGTTGCCAGACTTAGACCCTCTGCGAAGAGGAAAACAAGATCAAGCTAAGTTTGGCTGTCTGCGACTTGGTCCACATCTGGGGTAATTGCACAAAAATAAGTGTGTTCTGATTATGTTTCATATTCCCTGAAATATAGGGATCGTTTTGGAGGAAACCCCAGCTGAGTTGCACTCAACTGATACTCCTCATTCCGTAGGCCCCCCGGCGCATGCGCTGGCGCCAGAGCACTTCTTCACCCTCCAGGGGCGCCAAATCTGCGGCGCTTAGGCAAAGTGGTGCTGGGCTGAAACGTGGTTGAAGTAGGTGACACGTTGAATGGTTGCTAACAAATGGGTTCCTTTCGGATACTGCACACAGGATTTTCACTTGGTGCAAGCTGGAACCCGATTATTACCCTTGATTAAGGTTTGTGCACGCAAAGGCCATCCTCTTGCCATTTGGGAAAACACTGATACAAAGCAAGGCTTATACACGATGGTTGCTGGAAGGTTTGTCCAGCAGGGTCAGGGTTCCCTGTATTCCCCCTGTAACATCACAGAGGGTCGGCGAAAAACTGGTCCCCCTTGCCATGCTGGAAAACTCTGAAAGGAAAAGGTTACACCATGATTGTTGCAAAGAGGGTTGTCCAAGAATGTGACCCCTCCCTTTTTCCAACAATGGTAGTCGCAAGGGGGGGGGGGGAGTTGGAAGACTACCATCGTCTCAACAGGGTCTCCTATTCACTTCTATGGCCGGTCTCCTCTTGGTGTCCCTGTCGGCACCATCCCAAAGGTCCGTTCTACTTCTGCGGAATGGGTCGACCAATCCAAATTTCCATCATGTCAAGAAGGAGCCAAATCCCTTCGTAATCCAATGATCGTGTGGATCGCCTTTGAACCGCAGCTTGTTTTACCGAAGCATATGACCGTTGCGCCGTCCTCATCCCCAACTGGGGAAGCAGTTCCCTTCACAGGGCAAGGCTCCCGCGCTCACCTTCCCTTCGGTATGGCTTGCCGCTTGCAAGGGAAATCAAAAACTGGTGTCACCAAAGAGTCGTTTGCGCGCCAGGAAGGAAGGAGGAAGCAGGGAAGGGAGGCAGGATGCGGAGAAATGTGCCGGCGCCTGCACGATACCCTGCTTCTTCCTCACCTCAATTCCATGTTTACCCGCCAAACGAATTGGGCTCAAGCTTCACAGTCCCGGAGCATGCCCTGCTATTTACCATTCTCCTTGCTGCTACCCCGATTGGATACGTCTAAACAGAAACCCGAAAAGGCTGCACACCATGCACAAAACAAACACAAACCGCGTCTGCGTTGATGCTGTTGAACAGTGATATGTATATATACATATATTATACTTGTGGAGGGTTTTGCTCTTCTTCTTTTTGCGTGTGTGTGTGTGTGTTGGCAATAATATGGCGCCAACAACTTTGAGGGGTTGCAAAATGTACGCCGAACACAAAGCCCAGGAAGTGAAAACCGCCAAGCGTTTAGGGGACCCAGTGGCCATGGGGGAAAAGGACATCCTTTGCTTGGTAGTTGGTTTTAAAGAGTTTTCGACCTCCGGACCGAAAACAGCCACTGGGCGCATGATTGTGGAACATGCCCTTTTCTACCACGTGGGTCCTTGAAACCTTGGCATCCCAAAGTGACGCACCCCATGTGATTTTTCCGGCGGCTAATGTTAACCCCGGATTAGTAAACCCCTGGTGGATTAATAGGAGGTGTCCCCTTTTAGTAGGGATTCATCACTTTTGGAGGGAACACCCCCCTAATAATGGGACGGGTTTATTCATCCTGGGTCCCCCTGGGCGCTCAAAGAAGCGGGGAATTTCCGGTGCCACGAACGCCTGGCGCGATGTCGGTCCCAGGGAAGCCCTCCATGAACCAGTGCACTCGCTCGTCGCCCTGGCGAAATGGGAAGGCAAAAGGCTGAGTGTTTTGTGCGGCTGTCAGCATAACAAAAAGACTTGCGCATCACCTCTTTACGTCCTTCGTCTTGTTTACCCTTTTTGACCCTTGGTGAAAACCTGGCTAAATCAAGCACATCCAGAAAGTGCTCAATTCCGGAGTGAACCGCTAAAACCAAGTCTGTGCGTGCATCCCCGGCCGACGTAGTTGCAACATCAGCAACATCCCAAGTGCTGAAAGGAGGCCCTGCTTCGGTTTTTATTGAAGAGACCGTCTTCAAGTATCACGCCAAGCAAACACTATCTGGCATTGAATGAGGCTGTGGCAGTCGGCTTCATCTGTGCGGTTGTGTAGTGGAGCCCAGTAAGGGACACAAATATGTCTCTGTCAGATTTGTTTTTAAAAAACTCCGAAAGCCGTCGGGCTGAGTTTGCTTGGACGCCGCGAGCAAGCGAATGAGTCAACCCTCCAGGTGCTGCCGGCAAGCCATGGGGCCCTTCAAAGCGAGTTGAGATCTACCGAAAAGAAAACATGAAACTTGTTTGAGATGTGAGGTTGGAATCCCCGCTCTGACTCAGGGCTATACTTTTGCTGGAGCGATTGCAACCTAGTGACTATGATTGACTACTGGGTTGGGACCGGGCCGCAATAACCCGTCTAGAGACAGCACTGGGAACGTTGACTGAACTCAAACGGGGGCTGTCTCCCAATGGCGTGAACGTCAACCCATGGTGGGACGGCAAAGGCAACCCTGTTGGGAAGCCCGTTGCCTGGAACCGTGCTTTTGAGGTCTTTGAGACATGCCTTCTCCTCCATTCTTTGCAGGTCAGCCAAGAACATCCTTGGGTTGGTTCCCGCTCACAGGGGCAACAACTCACACAAATGTAAGAACTAACATGTTGGCCATGGGTCAAAAGCCCGTACCCCCAGTGAACATCCCAATCCCCACCAAAATCCCGACCAAAATGGGTGGTGAACTCACCTACCACCCAAAAATGGCATCCCAAACGGTTTTGACCACCACAGCCATGCCCACCAAACAGTGCAGTGTGCCCATCCCCCGTGTTTCCCTCCCTCCCGAACAACGAAAAACCGGTCGCTCGAATTGTCGACCGCAACCTGCTTCTCGTTGAGCCGCTGGAGCCCGCCGAAGACCCGGTGCCGCTTCGGCACGCCGGCCTCGGCGAACGAAACAGAACGCGGGGAGGAGCAGCCCATCGTAGGGCGAAACAAATGCGGGGATGCCCCGTTTTGCGTTTAAACAAAAAAAAAAACTCGGTGGCTTTTTCTGCTCCCCTACTAAAAGTTTAACTTTTAGCGGTTTGATGGAAAGCCCATTAGTTGGCAAAATAAAATAAAAGTACTGACATCCAAGCAAAATGCACCAAAACAAAGAAGGACCCTGGCGACAAATAGTTTGAATTGGAGCCCCTGGCGCCAAAACACTCCTTTCGAATTCCCTTCGAACCGTTGAGCTTCATCTGATGGTCTCCGAGTGGCATAGCCGCTGGGGAAGCGCAGGCCGGTGAACACGATCTGCCAGTTGGCACGCCGCGCGCCCTAAGCGACGGAGAAATGGGTTGTTGGTCCTTTTCGGTGCCCGTTTCTGGAACGACCAATCAACCCTCGGCACAAAAAATACTGGTTCGATGTTTGTTTGGTATGAATCAACCATCGCTTTGAATTCTCACCTGGGTGTGAACTTCAACGGGTCCCCTGCCCTTTGGTAAACTTAATTTCGGGGATACATGCCCGTCACCCAGACTTTTGAGGTTGCTTCCTCTTAAAATTAATCGCCATTGTTTTGTTTTTTTCTCAGTTTTTCCTTAAAAACAAACACACACACACACACACACCCACCCACCCACCCACCCACCCAGCCACGCACGCACGCACGCACGCACGCACGCACGCACGCACGCACGCACGCACGCACGCACGCACGCACCCGAGCAAACCTAGTGAGTCCCGCGTTGTCCTTTGCACTGTTGATTTGACACCATAGCATTTGGCTAGAGACTTCATCGCCTCCAGGAGCTGCTGTAGGTTCCGCAGCAGCTCGCTGCGGGCCTCCTGGCATGCCCCCCAAAAATGCGTCGCCTGAAACTTGGGGACGCGGAGAATGGAAAAGGTGCAGGTTCTGCTTCATATTTGGCCAATTCCCCTGCAAAAACATAGTTTTGGAGACCACTGAAGAGGCTCCATCAAAAAGGAGGGGTGCGTCAAGTGAATCAAGTGAAAGGGAAGTCCCCCGCAAGTTCACCATCGCCATAAGATTGCGGTCGGGACCCCAAAATATGACTGGCTGGTATTCCGGCATTCCCAAAAGCAATGGATCCCTTCCGGAACCCGGAGCCGCTCCACACTCCAGAGCCCTGGCCCTATCAAAAGCTCAGCTGCTGGGCGAAAGGTACAACAAGGGAGTAACAGGTCCCTGACATATTCAACCAGATTTCCCTTCCCCAACCAAAGCGTATAAAACAGGGGGAGGGCCCTGAGAAAAAGAGCCCGAAACGGAAACCACCGGTGGGAGGCCCCTTCTGGGCTCACGGGTCGCAACCGAGGGCCCCAAAGAAAAGCTCTGCTCAAATATGAACCTCTTCGAAAATGGCCGATGGCCGTTCCGAAGTGGGCAGTTGGCTCCAACTCGAGCTGGAGTCCATAGACTTCTACATCGTATATAGTCTACCGGGGGAGTTGCTACCATAAGATTCTCCAAGACACGAAGGTTGGTGGCCCTGGGTCTGTGCAACTCTGATACTTGGGTATGCTCAATTCTGAGGGTACCCTTTTTGGGGTTGCTTTAAATGGCAACCAAAAGAAAACCAACCATGGGAAGATCCCCTATTTTGACACATACCAATTGGAACCCTGACAGTTACATGCAAACCTTTGGAGTTCAGGGTGTTCTTTGCACTTTGAAATGCAGCATATCTCAGGTAGAGAATTCATTGTTGCACGTTCAAGGCATTCTGACAGCTGGCTCAAAGTAGATGATGTGGCATACTTTCCCCATTTAAGATTGGTCATCCCCTGCACTTACCCAAAAAAAAGTGCCATCTACTTCCACCTCTGGTGCGTTTAAAGGACCCCCCGTTAAGTCAGACTACCACCAACCCACTGTCCCCGCCCTCCGCTTCCGCTACTTGCAGGCCTCCGGCAGAGAATTGAGCAAGTCGGGCTGCGCCTCGGTGCAGCTTGCTTGGAGTGGTGCCCGGTTTGGAGGTTGACCTTCCTTGTTCTTCCCACCTAGGTGTGGCTCAAAATTAAACAGGAGGGGTTACGCAGGTTTTGGTCCATGTTTCCACTTACCAGGGCAACCCATTTTGGTACCGGATTTTTGAGCCACAGCCACCTAGCTGCAATACACCAACAACAGAAGCTACCTCACCAGCCCAAACTGAGGGTTCCCAAAAAGGTCCTGAGCCGAGGTGGAAAACCAAAACTTTGTGAGCCGTTCTCTTCGGCCCAGGCAGATCAAAACTGCCAACTAAGGGTGCCCTGAAGGGTGCTGGGACGTAAAGACTGCAGCTCAGGCTGTGAGAAGTATGCATGCAAATGTGTACACCTGCAAGCAGGTACGTGTCCTGTCAACTCTCGGCAGCCAGTGTGTTGGCATGCTGCCACTCACTCAAACGCTCAAACACAAACGCTCAAACACAAACAACCAGCCAAAGAAACAACCAGCCAAACAAACAAACAAACAAACAAACAAACAAGCAAACAAACAAACAAACAAACATACAAACATACATTCAAACCAAAAATTCCAAACACGCAAACAAACATACATTCATACAGAGCAATGCAGAGCTTTGAGTCCTGACCCTGGGTCCGCCGGCATCGCACATCACCAGTGCATAGCGCTCCGGCGGCTCTGCCATCGCGGTGGCTGTCAAGAGCCTGTGCGTCTACCTGCTGAAATGGAAGCCCGGGCTGGTTGAAGAAATGAACTCGTCATTCTCAATGGCTTGAGAAACGAGCCTCCCTGCTGCAATGGGTCGACTAGAAGCCTTCGCGATAAGAGCCGGCTAACGAGTTCAGTGGGTGCTGCTTGTTCAAAGCGATGGTCAAACATGACGTCAGAATAGGCATGTTCACAGGGCCTAGTTTCATGTGCCCCATGTCATCATCTTTCTCTACAGTAGATGACAAACAACTTTTGACCATTGCTCGTAAACTTTTGCCGAAGTTGGGAATACCGCGACTCCATCTGTTGGTTCCCTTTAAACACTATCTACCAGGGGTTTATGCTCAATCATTGGACACACACCATGTTTGTCACCCCCGGAGAGGGGCGCTTGATGCGCGGCGTGAAGTCACAAAGCCCAGCTAGAGCCAAGCGGATCGCCAATGAATCGCTCCGGAAAGCCTCCGGAGTTTGCACCGAGGGAATGGGGGGGGGCTTTAGATTTGTTGTTTGGTGGTACTGGTGGAACCCAACAACCAAGGTTCCATTTAACCCAAAAGGGCTTACCCCACCCCACAAGCCAGATATGTCTCCCTTGCACTTCGAGAACGTCCTGTCCAAAGGTGCAAGTGCCTTTGAGAAGCTGAGCAAATGACCTGTCGGCGCTGGCTTGGATACAGACCATGGATCCCCGGCACCCACTCTGAATGGGGGTTCCATTCATACCAGGCAGTGCAGAAGCCAGCCCATCAGAATTTAATGGCAGCAAGCTGGCAAGCTGGGGTTTTCGCCGGTGGCATAAGGTGGAAAAGTCCACTTCAAAAGCTTGGCGCTCTCCACACGCAACTTTCACGAGGGGAACCACTTGTCATTCAGAGCGCCTCCCTGCGGGTTTCAGCTTCGAGAGGGTCACCAAATGAAGCAACGAGTCTGCAGCGTCTATTTCAGACAGAACCCTCTTGGGTGGGTTCAAACTTTACGCGTGCACACACACACACACGGAAAGGCAAGGACAACTTAAACGCAGGCTTTGCTTTTTGCCTTCCTTGCTTAGGAAGGCGGGAACACCTCGATGAGGGAGCCTTCGCTCTGTGGGGATCCATGTCCTTCCCTGAACCAGGTCACACACAAGACACAAGACACAAGGTTGCGCGCATTTATATATATTTTGGAGTTCCTTTCGAACTACGAAGTCGAGGGGAGACAACACCAAAATCGTCAGTGGCTTGTGCTGCCTCATTCTCCAAGGATTATATGCTAAATTGGAGGGGGATAAAAATGCAAGGCTTTTGTGAGTGATCAATTGATTAAGGCTGGCTTACGGGCATGGATGAGTCCTGAAATGAGGGCCTCTTTGTGGATAGTGTCAAGGAAAAGCGTCTATGGCCTACATGCACTGCATTCTAGCCAATGTCAAACTACCCGCTTTGGGGTTATTCCCATAAATCAACCCCAATGTTGGGTCATTGCGTGTCCAGCTCCAAGGGTGCAGGAATGCAGAAACCATCCACAAAACATACTATCATTCAAACCAGAGACAAGTAAGGGTTGTTTCTTCATGGGTGAGCTCTCCTTACCACCTCATGAAGTCGTTCAGAAGTAGGAAAGGAGGGGGTTGAAACGAGAAGGGATTCCCTGACCTTTGCTTTTGGCCCTGGCTTCTGTTTAGACCCCAGACACCCAGAGACTCCCTTCCCGGGCCACTCGCGGCCCGCCTCACGCTGCTGTGCGCCGGCGGCCGGATCGCTTCCAGCTCTCCTGGTGAAAGACGTGGGGTGGTTCAAAACTCGGGGTTTTGGGAATGAACTGGTTTGGGATCCCCTCAAGGGAAACTGCAAGAAATGGTTTTGAATGGGCCGGGAATCAGCAAGGAAAGCTTCGTGTTGGCAACACCTCAGTTCATCAGCGGATGCCAACAGCTCAAAACACACAGAGGGGGCGCAGGTGGCGAACCAACATCTTTGTGAGGTGGTTATGAGTTGGCCAGATCTGTACCCTGGTGTCAATTACACATGTGCCAGGCTCGCCAAATGATTTTAACCGATCCGAAGTCGAGGTTGTCAAGCTGATATTTGTAGCCAACCACCCAGGCGTCCCAAATTGAAAAGCGGACCCAACTGGACTGTGTTGAGCTTTGCTTTTCATAGGGGCCGGCGCAGCTCGTAGGGGTGGCAATGCTCCCCCGGAGTGGTGCGGATCCCCACCACCTATCAAACCAGGCCTTGTCCAAACCTGATTCTCAAATCAAGTTTCCCAGCTTCTGTTTGTGTGAGTGTGCAGTGCGGTAAACAAATGGATCCCTGCAAAGCTCACTGGCAGAACATGCCAACATCACCGGCATAGCTCATACCAGCATCACCAGCACAGCACAGCCAGCATCAACGAAATGGGCTCACTTTTGCGAGAAAAGCCGCATTTCGGACCTCCCCTGACACACACCGATGGCATTCTTCGAATGCCACCACGAAGGCTTGAAAGTTTGCCTCATTTGGTGTTGGACAAGACAGTCGTGGCCGAATCGCATTGTGGCAACCCTGTATGTAAAAAAACAATTACACCAGCATAGACCCCAGATAGCACACCACGGATACGAACCATGACGCAGCATTATCATGATGATGTAGACCATGATGACACCACAGCCACGAAACAAACGCGCAGACAACGTCCTAATGAGATCAGCAGCATAATGATGATTTTGAGAGCAATCCGGCAGGAAAAAAGCAAAAACGAGGTCCTGATGAGTTCGACAGCATCATGATGATGCGGACAGCATCATGATGATGCGAACAGCATCATGGTGATGCGAACAGCATCATGCTGATGGTAAAGGCAGCATCATGATGATACCACAGCCACGAACCATCTTGCGACAGCTTAATGAAATTCTGCATCATCCTGATGTTGACAGCATCACGGCGCCACTACGCCCACACACCATAACGTGGGAACATCATGACGATACACCAGCCACGAACCGTTACACGCGAACAGCATCCACCAGCACCCCAAACATGCCCCCTAGCACCCGGTACAACCAAAGCAGCATCCACCCGCGCCTCAAACTGCATGCCCCTTAGCACCCGGCCGTCAAGCTCGCAAAGCAGCATCCACCAGCACCCCAAACTGCATGCCCCCTAGAACCGGCCGTCAAGCTCGCAAAACAGCATCCACCAGCACCCCAAACTGCATGCCCCCTAGCACCCGGCCAGCTCGCAAAACAGCATCCACAGCAGCCCAAACTGCCCCCCAGCACCCGGCCGTCAAGCTCGCAAAACAGCATCCACCAGCACCCCAAACTGCATGCCCCTAGCACCCGGCCAGCTCGAAAAACAAAACAGCATCCACCAGCACCCCAAACTGCATGCCCCCAGCACCCAGCCGTCAAGCTCGCAAAACAGCATCCACCAGCACCCGAAACTGCATGCCCCCGAGCACCCGGCCGTCAAGCTCGCCGGCCAGCTCGCAAACCAGCAGCCCCCCACCCGGCCGCCAAGCTCGCAAACCAGCACCCACCAGCACCCCAAACTGCATGCCCCCTAGCACCCGGCCGTCAAGCTCGCAAAGCAGCACCTACCAGCACCCCAAACTGCATGCCCCCTAGCACCCGGCCGTCAAGCTCGCAAACCAGCACCCACCAGCACCCCAAACTGCATGCCGGCCGTCAAGCTCGCAAAGCAGCATCCACCAGCACCCCAAACTGCATTAGCACCCGGCCGTCAAGCTCGCAAAGCAGCATCCACCAGCACCCCACACTGCATGCCCCCTAGCACCCGGCCGTCAAGCTCGCAAAGCAGCACCCACCAGCGCCCCAAACTGCATGCCCCCTAGCACCCGGCCGTCAAGCTCGCAAAGCAGCACCCACCAGCACCCCAACCGCATGCCCCCTAGCACCCGGCCGTCAAGCTCGCAAAGCAGCACCCACCAGCACCCCAAACTGCATGCCCCCTAGCACCCGGCCGTCAAGCTCGCAAAGCAGCACCACCAGCACCCAAACCTGCATGCCCCCGAGCACCCGGCCAAGCTCGCAAAGCAGCACCCACCAGCACCCCAAACTGCATGCCCCCTAGCACCCGGCAGTCAAGCTCGCAAAGCAGCATCCACCAGCACCTCAAACTGCATGCCCCCGAGCACCCGGCCGTCAAGCTCGCAAAGCAGCATCCACCAGCACCCCAAACTGCATGCCCCCTAGCACCCGGCCGTCAAGCTCGCAAAGCAGCATCCACCAGCACCCCAAACTGCATGCCCCCTAGCACCCGGCCGTCAAGCTCGCAAAGCAGCACCCACCAGCACCCCAAACCGCATGCCCGGCAAGCTCGCAAAGCAGCATCTGCAAAGCTCCACCAGCACCTGCAGCACCCGCCGTCAAGCTCGCAAAGCAGCATCCACCAGCACCTCAAACTGCATGCCCCTAGCACCCGGCCCTCAATCTCGCAAAGCAGCATCCACCAGCACCTCAAACTGCATGCCCCCTAGCACCCGGCCCTCAATCTCGCAAAGCAGCATCCACCAGCACCTCAAACTGCATGCCCCCTAGCACCCGGCCGTCAAGCTCGCAAAGCAGCATCCACCAGCACCTCAAACTGCATGCCCCCTAGCACCCGGCCCTCAATCTCGCAAATCACTTTCCCCTCTTTATTAGAAGTTAGAACCCCTATAGCTTTCAGCTATCTGGGGAAAAACCAAAAATAAAATACACCAGCATAGACCCCAGATAGCACACCACGGCTACGAACCATGACACAGCATTATGATGATGATGTAGACAGCACCATGATGATACCACAGCCACCGAGCATGGTGCGCTAAACAAACGCGCAGACAACGTCCTAATGAGTTCAGCGGCATAATGATGATGTTGAGAACATCATGCTGATACACCAGCCACGACGAGTCCGCGCTACATAACTGGCAGGACGACGTCCTGATGAGTTCGACAGCATCATGGTGATGCGGACAGCATCATGGTGCGGG